AAAAAAAAAAAAAAGAAATAATGACAGTTGAACTGAGTCAAGTGATACAATGAATAATAACAGTTAAAAAAAAAAAAAAACTAGTGAGTGAAAAGTAAGTTATCCTTAACTCAAATTTTCATTGCAGGTTGAAGAAAAAAGGAAGCAAATAAGTAATAAAATGGAAATATCAGAAAACCAGTATGATGCCTCTGTTGATGATGCTGATAACAATGGATTAATTCAACAGAGAAAGAATGGAAGAGCTGATCATGAGCAGTTTCCTCTTATGAAGAATATACATGATGAGTAAGAATATGGAAATATTTGATTGTAGATAATTGTTACTGTTCTATAAAACTAATTCTGGGGGCCGGGGAGATGGCTCAGTGGAATCAGTGCTTCCCTGGCAAGCACAAGGGCCTGAGTTCAGTCCCAGGTTCCACCAAAACTAATTCTAATTTGAGCCAATATTTTGATTAAGAAGTTATATGCTTTTACTAGAGATACTCAGTTTTGTATGGTTGTCAGAAAGATATAGACAGTGTCAGATATCATTTTTTCCAACTATATTGAGAAATATTTTATTTTAAAAATAAGAATTGGCCAGTGTAAAGAAACAGACATTGTCATGCACTGTTAGTAAATGAAATTATTCAACATTTTTAAGAGTAATTTAGTAACATCAGTAAAATTTCAAATACATTGTTCTCTTAATCAAACACCTTCTCTTCTGAGACTGAATCCTTCCGGGAGAGGACTGTATGACCCATAACCACACACATGCATGTAGGTATTATTAAAGACATTTATTATGTATCGCCCATAGCCTAAAATAGGTGAATGTATATACTTAATACATATAACATGAACATTAAGGCTGTATGTGTTGATAATATTTATATAAATATATATATATATTATTTTAAAAGATACTAGTGTTCTCACAAAGTTGGAGGTAGTTCAGATACTTAGTAGTAAGAAAATAGTTAAATTGCTATATCCATAAAATAATATAGCATGCAGCCCTTAGATCATAGTCATTCATTGTGATTATTTCACAAAGTATATGTAAACCATTTAATGATCTTCAGCAAATTTTGTTGTAATATGTGTAACGTGCTAAGTTGCAAAAGAAAGTTGTATGCTACCCTGGTACTCTTATTACCAAGAAAAGTAGTAGCTATTTGACTTTTGTTTTTTCTCAGGACATGATTGCTCTGATCTTCACGTTCATCTGAATATTGCTGAGGGATTGCATGAGGATCTGTAACTGATTAGTTTTCAGTATATTGGGTAAAACCTCTTAAAAGTGCCATCAAAGGATGTTTCATATACTAAACCAGAAATTGGCTTTTTCAGCAAAGATGCAAATAGTAAATATTGGGTCGGCCAGATAGCTCAGCGGACTAGAGTGCCTGTTTAGACAGGCACGGGGACTAGGGTTCTATCCCTGGAATGCCATCCGCCCCCGGGATGTGCTAAGACAGTGACTGAGACTGGGCATGGTGGCGCATGCCTATAATCCCAGTGCTTGGGAGGGTGAAAACAGGAGGATCACTGCAAGTCCAATCTGTGTAGTAAGACCCTATAGACCCTGTACTAACTACATAATAAAAATAAAAGTTTTTTAAAAATAGTAAATATTTTAGACTTTGTGGTATGCAGTCGCTTATGGTTTTCCATAATCTGATATAGACAATAAATGTATGACTGTGGCTCCATTTCAGTAAAACTTATTTACAGGGCTGGGGAAGAGCTCAATGAGCTTCTTGCCTAGCATGCGAGAAGCCATGGGTTCCATCCCCAGCACCATACATACACACACAAAAAAAAAAATTCATAAAAATGTGTAATTGCTGGATTTACTCTACCAGCAATGATTTGCTGACCCTTGTACTAAACCCATTTGCTACTAACTAGCTAAGTTAATCTTTTAAAGGTGCCCTGCAGGTATATCGTTACCCTTTTTAAGATAATGCCTTTTCTTTGTAAAGATAGTGAATTTCAGTGTGTTTTTTTAGCAGTGACTATATATATAATTTACAAAATTCACTTTATAAAATAAGAATATTTTATTTCCCAATTTTAGTTTCTTTTTTGAAACACTGTATACTTTGCCCGTCTCATTATTGTGATTGAGTGTATACTTTACTCTCATAAGTGGAATTTGTGTCTGTTTACTACCATATCCTCAGTACCTAGAAAAGGGCCTTAACATACAGTAAATAGCTACTGAATATTTACTCAGTGAGTACATGCAGTTTACTCTATATTATTTTAGACAGTAGACTCATTTTTTGCTTGTAAAAGTTTGGCTTGGAAAACTGAGACAGGAGGATTGCAAATTTGAATTCCACTTCAGAAGCTGAGCAAGACCCTGTCTCAGAATTAAAAAGAACTGGAGGTGTAGCTGAGTGGTGGAATACTCTTGGGTTCGATCTCTAGTATTGGAAAAATGTTTCATGTAAGTTCACTCTGACAGTTTTACCAGGCAGATACATTTTTTACATTTTTTACTTTAATAAGTTATATACTCTATTAACATTTTCCCATTTAGAAAGAAAAATTAAGTATTGTGATTACTTACTTTTTTTTAGGATAGTTTCACCTATAACAAAATGGATTTAAAAGAGTTGCTGGCTTCATTTGTATTTTATTAAGAAAAATAAAAGGTTGTAAACTTATGGGCTTCAAAAACAGGTTGTGGCCAAAGTTCCAAAACTTTTAATAACTGAAATTAAAAGACAAAATTAACTGTACTGTACAATTCCAAAGAGCTACACTGGCTGGGCACAGTCCCTTACAGCACAGTTGCCACAGTTCATGAACTTGATTCTTTCCATGAGTCTCGTCACAAACCGAGTTGGGTGAGAAACATAAAATTCAGTGGTTAAGCCGGGCATGATGACACAGACCTATAGGGAGGCTGGGGCAGGAGGATCAAGTTTGAGACCAGCTTGAGATACCTAAGTGAGTGCAAGGCCAGCCTGCACTACACATTTAGTGTTGACCTTATGGGGAAATTTGATTTAGTTCTCATCCAGTTTGATTTGTGACCAAGATCACAAAGAGAATTGAGTTTGTGAGCCACAGTACCATTGTATGTGGTTTTGGAAAGAGTAGAATTTAAAGTCTGACTAACCTCCAGAAGGTGAGTTCTCTTTAGCTTTTCAAGTGATATTGTGAATTGGTTGTTACTTTAAGCATATGTAGTAGTTTGCCTTTCAGGGAGCAAAATATTAGCATTGATTGGTTGGTTGGTTGGTTGGTGAGTGAAGCCAGTGACCATTGATTGCCTTAACACTGGGTTGCCACAGCAGCAGGTCAGTTCTTTCCTAAGGATGGGCCAACTTCAACCAGAAGTTTTCTGTTTCAAAGTTATTTTCTATCAGCTGCTTAAAATAAAGACAAGTTCACATTCTAGAGTTTTAACCTTGTTTTTGAAGTGTGGCTCAGGAGGAATTGTTTAATAATTGCTCTTTGGAATTGCTCCCCCACCTCTTCCCGCACCCATTTATTTTGATTTTTAGTCTCAACAAGAGTTATTTATTTAACTTTTTGTAAATAGTTGTTTTCGATTGTGATACTTTCAGAGGCTCACGTTCTTCAAACAACACAGTCTCCCATGGGAAATTTCAGTCTTGTAAATTTGTGTAGGTGTGAGAGCGTTATTGAATAACTATTGCATATTTATTCCATACAAAAGAATTGCTGTGATCTGTTGGTAAATCCAGCCTTTCTGTGTCAGGATTAGGTACTAGGCCAAAAGTATATTAAAGTTACAGAATCTTTTCAAATAGGGCCAGGGAGATAGCTCAGCAGTCTTAAGCCTGCCTGGCAAACGCAAGGACCTGGATTCAGTCCCTGGTACCACATGCCATGCAGGCCCCGCACTGAGTCGGCCATCAAAACCAGGTGTGGTGGCGCACACCTGTAATCCCAGTGCTGGAGAGGCTTAGACAGGAGGACCACTACGAGTCCGAGCTGTGTAGTGAGACCCTAGACCAAATAAATAAATAAATAAAATTTTAAAAAAAATCTTTTTAAATGAAATCTTTGCTACTCAGAGTGTTCCTTTTGTAAACTTACATGTAATGACAGATGGATATTTTAAAGTAAGGTTTTTGTCATCATAGTATTTCCCCAATTTCTTGGTTGATACACTCATGAGATTTTTAAAAATTTATTTAAATTCAGTACTGTTACATTTTAAAACAAAACCAAAACGTATCCCCAGTTGAGTCACTTCTGTGACTAAGAGGCTCTCAGTGCAGTGTCCTGGTTCAGTAGGCTGTCGCATGCAGCTCTGACCTCCTTTCAGGCTCCTAGGTGCCATGGACCTAATCTTTCTCTCACGTTCTGTTCTCTAAGTAGAATGGTTTTCCATTACTTTTTTGCCTGGTCATTTCCTCTCTTAGTATTGTAAACTCTTACTTGTACTCAGATACAACTTTTCGCTTATCAGTTCTTACAGATCACATTGACTTGTTTATATGTTTACTTATTCTTTTTTTTTTTTTGCGGAACTGGGAATTGAACTC